CATGCTCACCTATCCATAGGGCTTTGGGGAACTGTTTATTTTTAAAATTACTTCCCTTAAGTTAATTGAAGACTGGGTATGCCAAATCATTCTCAGGTGTTGTCTGGTCTTGTGTTTTGCTGAATGCTGTCTTGGGTGCCTTTCATATTATAAATAATCATTTGGTTATGTAACCATTCAAAGTGAAAACCTATCAATTAACTTCATCTTGTCATTGGAGGAGCACCCTTCCCCTTCTATTAGTGTTACAAGCCTCCCTCAGTTGTGGAATTCATGAGACCAGAAGCCCCTCATCCTGTTGCTGATATGGACTTAGGGTTGTGAATTTGTTTTCCTCTGTTCTGTCATTGCTGCCCTAGTGCTAGCTCTTCGCTTTGTCTCTGAGCTTCAATCCATCAGTTAATCCACATAAATTGACAGTATAGGACTTCAGTTACAGTGTATGAATTCCTCTAAAACAGACAACTTTTGGGGGAAAATATTGAAGGGGGGCATCAGGCACTTGAAAATTAAAACTGGTATTATATTTTTGGTACTGATCCTCTGTGACCAAATGTCCGTTACTCAGAGCGTGCAATTTCTAGTGTATTGCAGTGGTCTGTGGGCACTGGAGTTGCCCTGTAAGAGATGTTGAACTTTGATTTTGCCCTCGGCTTGCATTTCGTCAGCTGACGTTTTGAAGAAGCACCATCTTGGAGGGAAAGCCAAAGAGGGCCTAGCAGGAGAATTAAATCCAGCCAGTGGGCTTTTCCTCTCTTTTTTGGGGGAGGGGCAGCCTCCAGGAGAAGTTACAGCATTGCCCTGATATTTTTGTAGGCAATAGAAGCTGCCCGATACCAGTTCAGATCCTCCATTTTTCTCACACAGCATTATCAACTCTGATTGGTAGCAATGGCTCTCTGGGGCTTTTTGATATTTCCCCCCAACTTCCTGGAGATTCCTGGAGGTCTCCTATCCAGGAACTGACCCAAGCTCACTTAGCCTCCCAAATCTGGTGATGGATGGGTGTTTTCAGGGCAGAATGACAGCTTAAAGAAAGGAGAGACTGAAGATCCGGCATGGAACCGAACAGAGCCTCTTTCTTCTTCATGTTCCTCAGGTGCACCTGAAGCCTCTGTGGTTGTCCATCCCTGGGATTATGCCATGCCCCACAGCACAGAGTGTGCCTGCTTATTCTTCCCTGGCCCCACCTGCTGTGCAGATCTGCATAAAGTTTCTGCTTGTCTAAAGATAAATACTTGTCAAGCCACTGAGTGCAGGTTTCTCCTCCCACAGCTGTATTTTGTGCACCCTTTTTCTTGTTAAGCATGCTTTGCAACCATTGTGAATATGGTTTTGTCCTAATCAGCATTGTTAATTAAACTGTTTTCGGCCTTGGGCCATGGGAGTCTGTTGCCAGCAAATCAGCAGCAGCAGCAGTTCAGTTCTGCTTTCTGTAGAGGAGAGAGAGAGAGGTTTTCCAGACCTTTTCAGACCACAAGTTTTGTCTCACTGCCTTCTTTAAAGAAGACTAAATAGACCAATAATAGCAGCATAAAATGCAAGTGTAGTCTTAATGTAGATGCAGAATTGGACTAGTGTTTACTGTCAGTCTTCCTTGGAAGGATGAGGATCCCGCCCAGCCATGCACTATGGATTCTTCTGTTTTTTTTTCCCCCATGAAGCAGTTTTTCCAACCAGCTTATTCATCATTACTAACAAATTTAAATGCCAGTACGGAGTAGAGGAACTTTGGCTGTTAACAGATCACGAGGATAGGCTCTGGCAGCCAGCTTCCTTGGGTCTCCTCATTTTCTCTATTCAGCTAGAGCCTCTCTTTCAATAAAATGTTAGCCATCACATGGCCTGGAAAAGTACCCACTGCCTCCAGGGCCCTTTGTTGAGAAATAGATATGTACAAGGGAGGCAAAGCATACAACTGAGCTTTGAGCATCGTTGTGCTTGTGGCCTAGCTTTGTGGAGAGAAACCAATAACAACATGCCCTGAATAACTGTTCCAGATGTGCCTGGGTTCTAGTTTTAACCCCTGACATTCTGGCAGTGTTTTCTTGGTACCTTAGGGAGAGAGAGAGAGAAATTCTATCTGTTCAAGAACTAGCAGGGGACTGGGCAACCCAGAGGACTGTCCTTGAAAGAGGTAGCTTCTACGGTGCCATCAAAAAGCAGAAAGTATCACAAGCTGGTCAAGGTGTTGCAAGGTACTGATTGATTGATTGGTATTCCTGGTGCAAGCTTAAAGGAGGCGGGGGGGCACAGAGACAACTTTGTTTTTGTCAGTGAGTAGCACCCCTGTTGTTCCCTCTGGTGGTTTGAGTTTCTCCTCCTCCTGTTTGCTGGTGATTGGGAATTCAGCTGCCTTCCTGGAAAGGCCTGACAGGGGTCTGAAGGCAGGGAATGGGCCTTGGAGGAGGGCTCGGTAAAAGTCAGGAGGGCGGCACAGCATCATCCTGTTCTTTGTCTTGTCTTCTCTCCCCACCCACCCTGGGGTTCCAGGCAAAGTGGGGTTCCACCCTGTCCCCTCCGCAGTCCCTCTCTAGCTCTCTGCCCCATCCGGCTGGTGCCAGTGGTGGTGGTGGTGGGAGGGGTCTTGGCCGTGCCTCCCGGCAAAGAAGATCACCGGCTTCTCTTTCTTGCCGCCTGCCTGCCTGTCCTCCGGCAGCCCTTTGGAGCAGCTCCTCGTCTGGTGCGCGCATTGTTCTGCTGCAGCCGCTGATCCCGTGATGCAGCATTGCAGATCTTTTCCCCTCCCCCTCCCTCTCCCTCTCTCTCTCCCTCCCTCCCTCTCTCGCGCCCTTCCTCCCTCCCAGATCAGATAGCATGAAGCAATGCAGCTCCCCTCCCAGCGGTAACTGCCAACACCACCGGAGCTGTTGGGAAAGTGGCCAATGGGTGGGGCCAGGTCGGATCACTAGGCAGAGTAATCTTCACGGTGGGTGACTGAAGGCTATGCACAGTGAAAAAGCTGCAGGCAGGGCGAGAGCACAGATCCCCCCCCCCCAAAAAAAATCTTTTTGCAAGCCAAGCACCTTGCAGGGCCTTCCTTTTGGGGAGGACACAGTGGCACACATAAGTGACTGTTGCTCTCTCCTCCTCCCTTTGGGAAAAGTTGTTTCTCCACCTCCCAATGGCGGCACATTTTGGAGCCTCTAAGTGTGAGCAGAGGAGTGTTGTCTCCTCTGAGCTGGAGCTGCCTAAAGCAGGGCCGTCTCTGGCAGAAACCTGGCAACACATGTCTATGTCATCTCAGGCTTGAAAAGCTGTTCACAGAGAAAGCTGGCCTGTGTGGATTTCCTTTTCTCCTTCTGTGTCACATGCAATATTCTGCCTCTGCCCCTCTTCCCCGTCTGTCCTTCATCCTTATACTTTCCAGCTCCCATCATCCCAAACAGTCAAAGCTGTTACTGGTAGCCTGGTGTCCTCTCCTGGTCTTCAGGGCTTCCAGTGCCTGTCCTGTCTCACCTGCCCAGGAGCCACCGGCATTTGGCCCTGGTCTTGGGCCCATAAACATATCTCACTGCCACCAAATGTGTTGTTTCTGCAGAGACAGCAGGAGCGTAGCCAGTGACCATTATGGTTGAGTAGCAGTTTTTATCTCTGGAATTGTTTCTTCACCCTCCAGAGCAGTGTTTTTTTTTTTTAAGCCATTCAGACCTTACTATCTGCCTCTTCCACTGTGCTAGCTTGTTTGCCCTTCTTGTGTTGTGTGCTGGCTTGTTTCGGTGAACATTAACTCATAAAACAGTATTTGTCAGAGCTTGTTGGTGGGGTTTCCTCTCATGAGCAAAGGCATCGTGTGCTCAGCCCACATGGGTGTGTTGTTTTATGAGTGGCTCCTTTGCTTCCGTGTGGCAAGATCACAAGGACTCCTGGTGATGCTTCCTCGCAACATCCAGTAATATTCTGTGCTGGCAGGATTTTTGCTCCTGTTCTTATTGCCACCAGTTTTCACACAAAAATGTTGACAAATCCCATAGTTTGCACTCATATCTAAACCTGGAGACCTTGTAACTCTAAGAGAAAAAAAATTAAGGATAAATCCAAGCATGCGTAAAGCATAGATCTTACTGGCAAGTAGTCAGAAGTGGTTCATATCCCTTAGTTTTCATTTAAGCTGTCTAATCTTTCTTTTACTGGTTGGACAGTCATTGGGTTGAGGAAAAACTCCCACTGTTTCTGCGGTGCTAATGGTTGCTTTTTAGGATCTCTGCCTTAAGATTCTGGGTCTAGCTGTTGAAGGACAGTCATCCAGGGTGTCAGAATACCAAGTATTTGTCTTTACAGTTTGAAGTCCAGGCCTAAAGGGGAATTAAAGATTCTAGGAGTGGTAGTCTAAATGAGTCCCTCTTTCCGACCTTAGCCATTGACCTTATTCAGCTTGGAAGCCTGCAGGCATGGCTCTGTCATTTGTTCTTGGCTGCAAAACCGTACCATTACTTGCATCGACTGCTTAAGAGATCAAAGGTTTTTGCTGAACAAAGTACATACAGGTTGCAAATAAGTGCTGTTAATAAAATGGTGTTTCAGTCTCTCATTATTTTAACATTGATTGAATTGACATGCACTGCAGCAATGTGATAAATACATGGAAACACAACTTTTAATATATCATTTTTAAATTTTGATTAGACAATCTTGCATATGTTGGATAAACCAAAGAACCATGCTTTTGTGACCCAAGGTGTATTTTTTTCTTTTTTAATATAGGATAGAATGGAGGGGGAGGGAGATAGGATTTTAGCACCTCAGTAAAGGCGGATATATTCCCAAAGTGAGGATAATTTGCTCAATAGGGAATAGCTTTGTTTGACATGTTGCTTCTGTTGAACAAAAGCCTGGATCTGAAGCCCGACTACATGGCTGTAAGATCTGCTGAAATAAATCCCAAGTAAGCGTGCTTAGGGTTCCATCCTCACTGCTGGAAAATTGCAGCAAGTAATATGTAAACTTGCTTTATGTCTCCACTTTAATGCATATGATTTTTTTCTCTCTTTCTCTTCTAGATATGGACGTGTTGAAAGTGTCAAAATTCTCCCCAAAAGGGGATCGGAAGGCGGCGTGGCTGCCTTTGTGGATTTTGTGGACATTAAGAGTGCCCAGAAGGCACATAACTCAGTCAACAAAATGGGAGACAGAGACCTCCGGACGGATTACAATGAACCAGGAACCATTCCTAGCGCTGCTCGTGGATTGGATGATACAGTTTCCATAGCGTCTCGTAGTAGAGAGGTTTCTGGGTTCAGAGGAGGTGGTGGTGGGCCCACATATGGCCCACCTCCATCACTTCATGCACGGGAAGGACGCTATGAGCGGAGACTTGATGGGTAAGTTCCAAGGTTTCACTAGGCAGGTATTTTGTATTTGATGTGGTGAGAAACACAAACTCCTGTATAGGGCCCCCAGATGGATTTAAAATTTGGGGAATTATCTGCGTTTCCTATTTGGGGTTGGAAACGGAAGTGATTCCCAACCCACTGGCCGGGATCTTGTGGATCCATGGAGGATATTTCCTGCAGCTGATTGGATATCTGATCCTAAGATGGAAGCCTTCCGGTGGGCAGCTTCGGTTGTGGAGCTATTCTTCTAGGACTTAATGGTCCCATTTCCTGGATAACCTTAAGGTCTTACTCGGATCTATCCTTACTGTCAGATGGAGCTATTTTATTACATGAAGCCTTGCGACCCAGGGTGGAGTATCTGCAGAATTGTAGGACCTGCGCAGTCTTGGCAAAGGTTCGTGCCAAGTTTTTCAGGGTTTTGTTGGTTCTATAGTTTACAAATAAAATTGGATTGTTCAAAAAAAAATTCTTAGAGACTTTTAAAAATGCACCAAATCGGATTCTACAAACACTCTCTAACCATGGGGATACATATGGTGTGGTGAAGACAGCAGAAGGCAGCTTTTGATGTTTCCACGTTGGGATCTACCTGACTTCCGTGTATCTTGGGATTACTGTTCCTCATGGTATGGGCAAAAGTGAAGGAGATGGACGCATGGCCAAGCCTTGGAAATTACAGGGCACCTGTTTAGGTGCTGGAATAATGGCTGCTACCTTGAATTTGCGGGATGGTACCTTCCCAGTGGCTGAGGAGAGTGGATTACTACCTACTCTTGCTGGACCTTTCTTTTCCCGTGAACATTTATAAAAAAAAAACACTTTAGCTCTAAAGACTTGGTGCTGATAATCACCTGGTGGATACATCAAAGGAACTGGACTTGACTGGATGGTTACAAAAATGGAGGAGAGGAGGTCCTGCTCGCACAAGGCCTGGGTTCCTGCCTTGGTGCCTTTTTTTTCCCTTTTCTTACCAGCTGCTGGAGATTCTCTTTTCCCTTGGATGTACCGAGAAGCTTCTGCTCTCTGAAGAACCAAGTCTTGGGGTGACCACAGAGTCCTCCAGCCAACCTGGGACTACTGGCGTCTGGTGGAATTCTTTTTTTCCTCTTGTCACTCAGATTTTCGCTTGCTCGCTCATCTAAAATATAACTTTGACACCCTTGCCCATTAAGAAGGTGGATTACCCCCTGTAAGAGGGGCCAAAATTGGGGAAGTTATGTTCACAATTCTCTCCCTAGATTTAATTGGGAAAATAGGTCGTGTTTCCACACTTGGAAAAGGTTGGTATGTCCTGCCCTGTGTATCTTAGCCCCTCTCCTAACCCAAGTCCATCCCTTTTTCCACTAACTCTGGTAGCAATTAGTACTAATAGATACTCAGTGCTACTGTAGCCATTAGCTTTTCAGCTCTGCTAGTTCTTTTGTCTGTCTTCTGTGTCCTTCTAATGGATTAGGAGCTCTTTTGCTATAATAGTAACCTTTGTGAGGAGTGCTCCTTCTTCTCTTATTTTATCATATCCGCACTCACTGATTTAGCATTCTATAAGTGCAGAGTGCTTGTTGATTTTGTTCTTTAAAAGGCAGAGGAAGAGAGCTCTTGAAATAATTTTTTAAAAAAGATGTACACACACAAACACATAGTTGGCTATCATATTTGCATGCAGCTGCAAATAATTGAAAATGTATGTTATGCATTTTAAACACTGATATTGGAATGTTGTTTTGCATTTTGTTTGAGAAGCAGGAATTCGGAGAGACAAAAGTCTTAAGACTTTCTCAGGGATTAAGAGTCTGGGGTGCATTTAGAGCAGAGGACAAGTTCATACCCAGGGAAGATTTTAATCCACTCTTAAGACTGCAGGATGGGGGTGGGATGGAACACAGGAATCCAGAAGAAAAGGAAGACATCTGTACCCACACATTGAGAGGAATGAAGTAGCCACTAATTGGATGTCAGGGAAAATCAAAGGGGGATTCTTCCACTTTTGTAATTTAATACAGGCCCTGATTCTATTATGGAATTAGCAAGCACAGATTTATTTCCTCTTCTTTCCATGCAGTGCCACTGAAAATGGGCCATCCGATGATCCTTTAGAATGCTAAAGTAGCCAGAGCTTCCAGACCCCCCCCTCCCCTTTTAAATCCTGTGAAAGCTATCAGGATTTGAGGCTGTAGAGAGGTTGGGGACATAGATGTTGCCAGTCATCTCTTTAAAGTCTGGTGCACACAATAGATACCACAGCAGGAGAAGGCAAAGTACGCCCCAGCCCCCAAGGCCATTTTTGTGGCCCTCTGAGGACATTGTTACTGGACCTGTTTTTGTTTTTTAATAAACAAGGCAGCTGTTTCATAACAAAGTGAGGTGCAACCCCTCCAAAAAAATCTCAGAAGGGCCCTTAAGTTTAAAAAACAAAACTAGAAATGGAACTACAGGAATTGCAAGTGTCCTTTTAGGGGGAAAACATTTTTCTTATTTGGGGACTCTGGTGCAGCCTGGGTGGGGGAGCAAGTAAGCTCCCAAAACTTCCAAAGTTGCCCAGCCTGCTTCAGCGCAAAATGGTGATCCCAGATATCAAGTACAGAAACTCCAGCATTCTGCTGATAAATAATATGTTAATAATTCCAAACTGGTTATAAAAACAGCTCTACCTCTTCGTTAAATCAGCAATCGATCTATTTATCTTGCTTCAGTATCTTAAAGCTTCATAGGGCCGGTTCTGTCTCCTCCTTATCTGTAACACTTAACAGTGGTCCATACCTTGACTTTGATAGTCACCAGGACCGATCTGTCAAGAATGTGAGATATCCTAGTGTGTTCTTAAAAATAGTAACTGCATTTTCTGGGGTCTTGCTTGTCACAGAGGCTTTCATGGCTAGTGATGGACATTGTAAGACTGCTCTTGGACAGAGTTATGCAATAAAACTACCTATAATGTTAATCATTCTTCAGAATCCAGATCTATGTCTTCCTAGAAGTAAATCTGAATCTGCCAAATTTAAGATATAGGCTGGGGTTAAGTACTGTGGGGTTAGAACACTTGTCATGAAAGCCCTGTTTAATCAGATAAACACAATCCATGCCCAGGCTGCCATTATCTGGATATAAGTGAGGAGTTGTGTGAGAGGACGAGTTCCTCAGTCCTGCTTAACAGATTGCAGCCATGTGGCATTTGCATTCCTTGCAAAGAGAGCCAATTAAATGTTTAGATGTTACTTTCTTGCATGATGCCAAGATGTTCTCCTTGTACCCTGACTGACATCTGTGTTTCCCCACTTCCTTCCCTCCCAATGCAGGGCTTCAGATAACAGGGAGCGTGCTTATGAACACAGTGCCTATGGACACCATGAACGGGGGACAGGAGGAGGATTTGATCGGACAAGACATTACGATCAGGATTACTACCGAGACCCTCGGGAGCGGACTTTGCAACACGGACTCTACTACAGTTCTCGGAGCCGCAGCCCGAGCCGTTTTGACGCTCATGATCCCCGTTACGAACCTCGGGCCCGGGAACAGTTTACATTGCCCAGCGTGGTTCACAGGGATATCTACAGAGACGATCTCACCCGGGAGGTCCGAGGGAGGAGGCCAGAGCGGAGCTACCAACACAGCCGGAGCCGGTCGCCGCACTCGTCTCAGTCCAGGACCCAGTCCCCTCAGAGACTGGCGAGCCAGGCGTCACGGCCGACCCGGTCGCCCAGTGGCAGCGGGCCCCGGAGCAGGTCCTCCAGCAGTGATTCCATCAGCAGCAGCAGCAGCACCAGCAGCGACAGGTAGGTCAACACCCCCACCAACCCCACTGCCTGGGATGCTAATGCTGGCATGTTGTTGCTGTGACCCCAGATCTGGGAGCTACTTTCTTCCTCCTGGTATTGATCAAAACATCCCTTTCCTCAGCAATACCTTTTCTCAAGCCAGTGTCATCCATCATTGGCCCTGCAGGTATCTTGGATTTCATTTCCCAGAAACCATAGCCAGCTTCACTAGTCATCAGATATCCTGGGAGTGGAGGTCTGAAACCTCTGGAGGACACTCTCTGAAAAGATCTGGCTCCTTTCCCCCACACATACACTTTTTGCCTCCTCCATGCTGTCTATGCATAGCTAATGGAAGAATACCCCATTTCATCCCCAGGTGCCATCCTGAGGCCCCATTCATAGGGACTGGGATTCACTTATGACACCCTCCTAGTCTCTCAGGGGCTATTGCCTATAGAAACTCAATAGAAATATAGAGGAACTGTTGCTTAGGAAATAGATAACTTAAATGATAATAAACAAAAAAAAGTTGTGTTCATTTAAAAATGAACAGGGTTTTGTGGCACCTTAAAGACCGAATGACTTTTTTTTCAGTTTGAACTTCTGTAGCTCACAGTTCACCTCTTCCAGTGCCCAAATTGCAGTATTTGAGCATCCAGTACAGAATCAGCTCCTCTTCCTCATCTGAGCTCCTGAATTTAAACTGGGCATCCTAAATGCCACCCTCCTGAAGGAACAAGGGGCGGGATGGACTCCGTATTGGGGACCCCATTGTCACTGGCCATCCAGCATATTTCCTAGCAGCCTCTCTTGTGGCCACACATGTCCTTGCAGTGCCTAGTTTATGGCTAGAAAAAGAGATCGAAGGAGGCTGGAGCTTCGGGCCGACCTCTGGCTTTGGCTGCCTAGTTTTCTGCTGGAGTAGGAAAATAACATGGCTTGAACTTTGCAAGGACTCTGACTGTGGGAGAATGGAAAAAGGGTTGGAACAGAATGTGACCCTAACCCAAAGTTACTTTTATTTAGTTATACATTTAAAATATTTTTGCTTGGCCTTTCTCCTTAGAAAAGGACCCAAGGAGGCTTACAGCCTTTAAACACAAGATTTACTGAAACAATGAGTACAGAAGGTGGCGAGTGAACCTGCCCTCGTTTCCTATCAGGTTGCAAGACCTACATGTAGAATCCAGATTAGGCTTGTGGAGGGAAGGGGTGCAAATCAAACACTGCTACAGTAGGGAAAGATATAAAGTCTGACCAACCAGCCCAAACTAACTTACATTCATGCCTTCAACGTGTAATCAAAAGTCACAAGGCCCTTCTGCTTTGTACTTAATGCTTGATTTCCAATGCTAAATTTCTGGATTTGAGCTTTTAAACATGACTTGCATCAACATGACTCTGACATACAGTAATTTGGCAAAACTTTCTCATGTATTAAAGGCCATTCTGTCATTTTGGCCTTTGAAGGTAATTGGTTCTTGACGTGGAGACTAGTTATCTTTCAAATCATGTTACTTTCAGAGAATCAATGTATCTTTATATAAATGTTAAACGAGAACAATATTTTGAGAATTGTGGAATAATCCACTGAATTACACTTGAATTAATTATTTTTTATAACACAGTTGCTGTGATTTGTGGCGGAGATACTATGTTTGAGCTAAATGAACTTTTCCAGTTAAATTTATCCTTAATACAAGAAGTAGCCTGTATAGAAAGTGCTTTTTGTCAATTTCTTGTGTCTGTCTCAAAACATAAAGATGAAAAGATACATAATGAAAACTAGAAAAAAGACCATAAAACAATGTGACTTAAATATTTGGGATTTCTAAAACTTGGCTTGTGAGTTCACCTTTGAGATGCTGCAAGGCCTTCTTTTTAGTTTGTCTGTTGTTGCTGTTGTTTGTCGGGTTGCCGACTTGCTTGTCCCACTCGTCTCCCAGAGGGAAAGCAGATGCTGGCAGACTTAATTTCCTTACATAATGCTGTCCTTTCCCTGCAGTGCCCCCCCCTGCTTTCCCTGTTCAAGCATTTGCCAACTGGGGGTGACTCACTGCCTTCCGATGGTATTTAGGTGAAGGCACGAGTGGATTTGCAGGTTCCTGTTTGTTGCGGGGGGGGGGGGGAGACAGTTGGGGAAGGAGCTCCAGAATTGTGTCTCGACAACGGCAGTTTCAGTGTGAGTGGCCCGCCAGCACCAAGCTATGCCTTGATTTATTTGTTATCCTGCCCTTCCTTATAAGGGCTTTGAGCAGACCACGGAGCTTCTGTCCATCCAGAGGGTGCTGAGGGGGGCAGGGGGGAGCCAGAGGAGGCAGCGGGCTCACACGCTTGGGGATACCTTCTGATCTCAAGCAACCGGGCCAAGCAGCCTCTGAGAGTTTTCCTCAGGAGCTTATCGGGTTACTTTCCTAATTGAATGCAGATTTCTCCTTCCTCCCCACAACTCTTCAGAGGAAGGCAGCCTTGTTCACTTTTTAAAATTCCTTTCTGGTGAAACCTTACTCAGATGGACCCTGATGGCAGAAATTCCCGTGTGTTTCTTCTATGGGTGCCATGTTAGGCTCTCCTTGCTAGAAGTACCTCCCCCCCCTCTCTCTCTGTGTGTGTGTGTGTGTGTGTGTGTGTGTGTGTGTGAGAGAGAGAGAGAGAGAGAGAGAGAAGCTGTCCTGTCATGTCTGCTTGCCTGCATTTGGTTCCACGTCTCCTCTCCCTTACGTAGCCTTAAGCCATCCCCTACTGCTCAGCAGTGTGGAATGTAGATTGCCAGGGTGTGTATGCATGTATGTATGTGTGAGAAAAAAAACCAGGGTTCCTTTCCAAGGCTCCTCGGATGTGTTGTTTCTATGAGAAGATTGTTCCCTGCTTTAAGAGGAAATCGTGTAGGGAGACAGGACCCAGGAGGAAGTTTTTGTATCAAGTTTTCTATTCCAAAAATGTCTGTGCCCCCCCCCCCTTCCTCGGTCTAAGTAGAGACGCCTGTGTAAGAGGGGGAACGAGCATTTGTGCAGATCAAAGAACATTTGCTAATTTGGCATTTGTGGAATTTGTGTATTTCTCTTCAACCTTCAGCACATCCCCAGAGGAAAGAAGTAATGTACAAAATGCTTTTTACAGCAAGAGCCATGGCTAGGGCAAGATCTTACTGGGCCAAACAAGCCCAATTGGGTTGGGGGACAGAAAACTGTGTGCCGGCAATTGCGGGTGAGGAGGAGCTCATAATCAGGTAGATCCTTATGGGGGGGGGGGAGAAAGGGGAAAGGCTAGAAGAGCAAGCCTTTAAACCTTTCAGTCTCTGTCCTTTCCCAAATATGCTTTAGGAAACACTGGCATTACAGTAACACAGAGGAGAAACAAAAAACAATTAAACATCCCACTGTGAGACAAACTGGTTCAGGGGATGGGTGCCCTAGCCTTCTCCCTTTCCCCACCAACATGGGGTGGAGGCCGTAAAGCAGGCCTCTGCCCTGTCCTAGGTGGGGGGGGTAGGCGTCTTGTGCTCGGTGGGACGGAGCTGCTGCCGCTGCTGTGTCCAAATCATGTTGGCAAGGCGAGGAGCTCCTTGTCTGTGTCTCCAGAACCAGTCTGAGCTGGAATCATCCGGTTGGATTTGGCTGCCTGCCACCTCCCAGGAGGCGCTGTGTGAGATGTGCGTCCTCTAGGGCAAGATCGTGTGTGTGTGTGTGTGTGTGTGTGTGAGAGAGAGAGAGAGAGAGATACAAAGCAGGCGGGTGTGTGGGTCAGGGTGGGAGAATGTGCAAGTCTTTGGGCTCTGTTTGTGTGTGTGATGGGCAGTGCCTTCTGGGCAGCACTCAGGCAGGCCGGGCCGCACGCTGGGAGCGTCCCAGGTCTGAAGAGGTGGCTGATTCCTCCGGGACAGTCCTTCCTTCCCGCAGAGTCTGATTTCCTCTTGGGAAGGCCCGGGTCTCGTGAAGGGCTGCTTCCGTGGCACCTTTCATTTCACTCTTTGATTTTTAGGACTGTGCTCACTCTCGCTCGCACTCTTATTTATTTCCTCAGGCTCTTTAATTAGTTCCTGTGTATTTTAAAATTTTCATTTTTACTTCACAAATGAGGGGCAAATAAGCAGGCAAAAGATAAAAACAAAGGAAAAGAACAGCAAAATAAGACCTTTGTATCCTGGTTCATGACAGGAATTGGTGCCTTCATAATATTTTCCTTTCTGTATGTAAATGACAACTTTCGGCAGTTTCAAATTTCCTGAAGAGTTATTTATTTTAAGAAGTAATGTTTAGTCTCTTGCTAATCTGAGGAAAGGTTCTGACAAATATTGCAGTCTGTTTCCCTGATTTGCCTGTTACGTTAAATTTTGCTTGTTTTTAAGCTTCTAGAACTCATTGTCCCTTCCCCCTCTGGGTTTTAGTGCTGCTTTTCTAATTCCTTCACAGAGTTTCTTGCTGCCTTTGGCTGATTTCAAGGAGGGGTTAAGATATTCTGGGGTTTGCTTTTTAGTGTCCTTAAGAACGTAAGAAGAAGAGCCCTGCTGGATCAGGCCAAGGGCCCTCTTCGTCCAGCTTCCGGGAGCACACGAGATAAAGAGAGACCTGTCTCCTGATACCACTCCCTTGCATCTGGCATTTTGAGGTACCTTCCTTTTAAGCCTGGAGATTATACATCCCCATCATGGCTTGTAACCTGCGATGGACTTTTCCTCCAGGAATCTGTCCAGTCCCCTTGTCAAGGCATTCTAGGCCATATGCCCATCTCCACATCCTGTGGCAAGGAGTTCCACAGATTTACAACACGCTGGTAAAGAATTTTTTTCTTTAGTCTATTCTCACTCTCCCAACCTTCAATTTGAGTGAATGTCCCCTGATTCTGGTATTGTGTTGGTGGGAAAAGAGTTTCCCTCGATCCACTTTATATCCACCCCTGCATCATTTTATACGTCTCAATCATGTCCCCTCTCAGGCGCCTTTTCTCTAGACTAAAGAACCGCAAATGCTGTAGCTGTCCCTCATAAGGGAGGTGCCCCAGCCCAGTCCTCATTC